TGGAGGTAGTCTCCGAACCCCAACAATTCTAAACAAGGTAGAGGTAGTCTCCAAACTCCAACAGCTTCTAAACAAGATAGAAGTAGTCTCCAAACTCTAACAGCTTCTAAAAAAGGTGGGGTAGTCTCCAAACTCCAACAGCTTCTAAACAAGATGGAGGTAGTCTCTAAACTCTAACAGCTTCTAAATAAGGTGGAGGTATTCCCCAGACTCGAACAGCTTCTAAATAAGGTAGATGTAGTCTCCAAACTTCAACAGCTTCTAAACTAAGGTAAAGGTAGTCTCCAAACTCCAGCAGCTTCTAAATAAGGTGGAGGTAGTTTCCAAATTCCAACAGCTTCTAAATAAGATGGAGGTATTCTCCAGACTCGAAAAGCTTCTAAACAAGGTGAAAGTAGTCTCCATATTCCAACAGCTTCTAAACAAGATGAAGGTAGTCTCCAGAGAATACAAACTGGAAATAAATACCACCATGACGAAAGTCGTGGCAGTCACGAAGGAAGGTGAAAGAACTAACATCCACTTTCGAGATACCCTTCTTGAATAAGTCATCACCTCAAGTATTTGGCCACAGTCATCAGCGAAAAAGGCAGCCGTGACAAAAAGATCCGTATTAAACTCGGAATGGAAAGAGCAGTGGTGAGATTGGTTAATTGGCATGAACATCTAGGTGAAATTGCTAAAAGCAATGGCCTGGTCGGAAGCAATTTATAGTTGCGAAAGTTGTACGCTTAAAAAGCACATATCAAAGCGTCGGAAGTGTCCGAGATGCGTGGCTATCAGAATATACTGGGAGTAAACTGAACAACCCATCGGATGATCGAGTCAGCACTGGAGGAAGTAGGGCAGAACGGAAACTTGTTGATGACATCAGAAGACGAAAGTTGTACCCTTAAAAAGCACATATCAAAGCGTCGGAAGTGTCCGAGATGCGTGGCTATCAGAATATACTGGGAGTAAACTGAACAACCCATCGGATGATCGAGCCAGTACTGGAGGAAGTAGGGCAGAACGGAAACTTGTTGATGACATCAGACGACGAAAGTTGAGATATTTTAGCCACATCACCAGGGCCAACAAGCTCTCAACGATCATCCTGCAAAGGAAGATTGAAAGATGCCGCTCACGTGGACGACAGTCCAGAACCAGAAGATGGACGGACGACATCAAGGAGTAGACCAAATTGTCATTGGCTCAGTACACAAACAGAGCAAGGAACGGGAACCAATAGAAGGTTGTTACTTCACAAAACATGGTTTATGATCAAGGAAGCAGACGAAACTACAATGAAGGTAGGAATAAAGAAGTCAGCCGTGCATCCAATAAAAGTTATTCAATAAAACCGCGTGACGTGACTCGTGACAAGAAAATAGAAGGACCGACTACCCAAAGTCACTCAGTGATTGGCGTTGAATTAATTTTAAGTCACTTTCACGTTCGGTCAGCAAGCTTATTTTTACCGAAGTCACTTTCTTTAAAAGTACTTAACTAATACTCTTTAAAAATACTTTAGCTGATCCACATGGGGAGGTCAGATGGAGGGTTGAGCAAATACAGTTTGTTTTTTTGTTTTTGGATTTCGCGCAAAGCTACACGAGGGCTAGCTGCGCTAGCCGTCCCTAATTTTGCAGTATAAGA